GTATTATAGGAGTGAGTCACCCACCATTAGTATTATCCCAAGGCATCTTTCAATCTTTTCAATCCACTTCCTTCTAAATCTAGAAGGTGACCCACTTTCACTGTCATCAACTTGTTATCTGCTTCTTCCATGCTGTTTCTGCCATTTCTACCTTCAGTTTCAAAAGTCTCTCCTAAGTTCCACAAACAACACTAACTGGATAATTGTAAATGGAAGTCTCCATGGTGCCTTCCACACACTCCTTCCTCCTGATGCTCACTTTCATTGACAACAGCTATTCCCTGGAGCCAGAAAAAAACTAGCCTTCCTTGACCCTGCCCTACTCTCAGACAAAATTACCAAATCCTGTTGCATTTGCCTCTTTAATATCTTCCAAGTCTGTCCAGTTGTCTTTCCCCTGTTTACTTCATAACCTAAAATTCATTAACTCTCTTTTAGATTTCTGCAATAGCTTATTAACTGAAACAGGTTAACATCGAAAATATAAGTATAAAATAGGAGGTGGTGGTATGCACCTTTTGTTATGACTACATGCATGTATGTGTGCATTGAACGCTGAAGATTTCTACTTTTTGACAATACTGGGCATTGAACCTAGGTCCTCATGGATGCTAGGTAAGTGCTCTACCACTGAGCTACCGTCCTAACCCTACATCAACTGTACACTATAAAAGGTACTTATTACTGTGGATCCTCAAAGTTCATCATGAACTGGACTAGGCAAAGAGGTGTCTGAGTTCCTTCTAAAGCCATATGTGGTCACTGAGCACTTGAAACTATTCTGAATTGAGATGTATTTTATTGTAATATATATATTTAGACCGTGTGTGTGTGTGTGTGTGTGTGTGTGTGTGTGTGTGTGTGTGTATATATATATATATATATATATATATATATATATGTAGAATATGGCCCAGTGGGTAAGAGTACTTGTCACCCAAGCTTGATGGCCTGAGTTCAAATCCCCAGAACCAATGTAAATACTAGATGTGGTGGCACACATCTTTAATCGCATGTGCTATCTTATGCACCCTCACACACAAACATGTATACACACATCATATACATACACATATATAAAAATAAATAATAGTTTTATATGGATAGCATGTTGACATAATATTCATGATATGTGGCATTAAATAAGATACATCATTATAATTGTTCTCACTTTTAAACTGTGGCTGTTAGATAATTTTAAATTACATATATGGTTTTTTCCATAAGGAGGTTAGCATTAGACAAATGAGTGTTTTGAAAAAGAGTGAGATAAATAAATTCATTGATTCCATAGGTAATACACTTGACTATTATCAATCTCTGGATGTTGCATTTGCACATGGTCCAACAGGAAGATGTCTAACAATAACCTTGGGCAGAATTCCAATTGGCCACAGTAAATACCCAAGGAAGCTTATGTTCATTTATTTGCACGGATACAGTGCATTAAATACAGCACATCTTGCTTTTAAAATGCATGCTGCTCTAAGTGGTTAGATGATGATACTAGTAAAGGAAATATACAGATAACTGGAAATCCAGTCATCTTTTTGAGTACCAGTGGGTGAGTATCTACATCCCAACTGACATAATACACTTTCTGAAAAACAGCAGTCTCTTGGCACTGCTCCACCTTGAAGTAAAACCCCAAATGAACTCCTGCTAACGTGGCATATTGAACCAGCCCTTTTTCTTTTTTTTCCCATGGCCTTCTAAGTTGATTGGAAGCAAATCCATCTTCATGGAAGGGACTATTCTAGGCTAGAATTACAGCTTTCCTCTGACAGCAGAAGATACCCCTAAGAAGAACTTGACCAAGGTCATTAACTAAATCATCAAGCAGACAGCTTTTAGGACAACTGGTCCTTGTTAGGAAGGGTTTATAGAGACCCTGCTGGTCCCAGAGGATTAGTCTAGGCTTAGTCACAGGGCTGAGGAGATTTGAGGACAGTCCATGCCTGCAAGGAGTGTTCCTCCCTCAGGAGTTGGGTTTCCAAGGAGGGCTGTTACATCATATCACCCAAGGCCACTCAGGTTTTCTTCTTCACATCCAAGCTTCTGAATCACCTTGCATCGTATTTAAACAGAAAACATTAAGGAACAAAAAACCAGTCAAGAGTAAAGATCATAATAATGAAAAGTTCTCAGAGACATCTCCAACTGGATACCATAGTAATAAGGGCAATAAGATTACATTCTTAAAATAGAGACTACCATAAAAGTGAAACAATTTTCAGCAATTATTTTTATAATTTCTTCAGCACTGCTAATTTATTCTATTTAGTCCTCTTTTGTATTTTTCTGCAATGTAGAATAAAGCAGCTGGGAAGACTATATGTTTTCCCTTCAGAAATATTTCACCTTGAGGTATGATTCAATAGCATCAATAGCATTATCAATTTGCACCTAAAATATGGATTATTTTAAAGCCTTGTTTATTCAGGAAATGCCATCTTCTGTCTTCCTTTCAATCACTGAAGAAGAGATTTGTCATCAGAGGTGACATCTTAGTATTGAAGTTCTAAACAGGCCTCTCTCAAATCCTTCACACACTTTCCAAAGTTACTTATGCAACTCAATATCCACACCCCGTTAATGGCTGTTTCATGAGTGACCCACATATGATTAGGGGTGATTAGCTCAGATGAACGGAGAAACACAGACTTTATAGCATTTGAATGCATGAATTATTAGCAATGCTTCATGATCAACGAAAGAACCAAAAAAAAAAATGGCAATTTCATATTTTCCTGTACCACTTCTTTTCTTCATCAAAAAAACTTTATTAAGAAGTTAGCATGAGCCTTAGTTATTGAAGTAAAAGCCCAGGCAGTGGAAAGTTATCTATGATTTAAAAAATTCAAAATTTAGAACATAACCACCTCTACAGTGATTAAAGTTTGCTCCTAAGAAAAAAAAATGCTTCACAAAATTTAGTTAAAGCCAGTATTTAAATAAGGCCAACTTTAGCGGCCCATGGAAACTTTTTTATCAAAGTAGATCAAAACATTTATTTCAAAAGTTTAGTTTTGGTACATACCTCTCATACCTCTGCTGTACTTGTATCATCCCCTCCCCCTCAAAAAAAGATAGGAAGAGACTGTATTTCACTTGAAGAGTATATTCTACATGAATATGCTTATACTTTTCAAGTATATTGTTCTGGGCTTGGTACCTAGCTGTGGCCCTTCAAAGTGGCCTTTAGGGAGTTACTTAGCTTCTCTGAAGGAATTCTCTCAATCCCTTACTTCTGAACATGTGTGGAAGGTGAAGGTGAGGCACTAATGATTTTGATTGTCATCAGTTACCACCTGAAAGAAGCTGTCAAAAGTAAAAGTGAGAAAACAAACTGAACTGATTTCCTTCTTTGGATTACCTCTGCTCACTCTTCTCAGGCTAATCAAACAAGGAGCAGAGTAACTAAGAGGTGGATGGGAAAGAAAAGAAGTAAAGAAAACTGGTATTGGAAACTGCCTCTCCTTATGCTGCCCTCTTTGTCCAAATATATATGGTTTCAAGTTTGTGGATTGTATTTACTTAAAAAATACATTCTGTAACATTTGTAACACACCTTTAGTGGTCATTTTTCCATTGCTAAACCATGAATTGTTTAGCAGCTTCAAGGAATCCTTTAATAAGCAACTTATCAGGACAATTTACGTGACATAGGGCTAAGAATCAGTTAATGTTAAACTACCCTAAAACATGCTTCAGAACATAGAAACTGCTCTAATAGAACTCCTCCTGGTTTCCTGATTTCAGTAAGTTGAACCAAGCCTGCCTTCAAACCCTTGCTGAGAAATAACAGTTTAATAATGGGTTAGCATTGAAATCTGTAAACCCAGCTTATGTGGGGGCTCACAAAAAATTCTACACAAAAAAATCTTTTTAAAAAACTGTCTCCCTAGTGTCAAACTGCACAGCCAATCAAAACACATTTAATTTAGGAGAAATCCCTGAAGAAAGGATAACTCTAGTGTATGTCTTAGATTTGGGGATTCAAAGAGCACTCTCTCCAAGTTCTATAAGATGTCAAGCCACAGGAAACCCACAACCCATTTGATGTGTTTTTAATTCTTTGAGGCCACTTTGTTGAAGTGGTTGAGAAGAAACTTCTCCATTTTTCTAAAACTTCTCCATTTTTCTAAGGGATCAGAACCAGTGTCAGAGAAGCTGATCAATGAAGATGCAGTTACTGAGAGAGAATGAAGCTCTAGTACCTTGTTTCCATACTTTCATTCTTAAAGGCATGCATCCCTATTCTAAATAGAGGTTGCCAATGCCTGAATAGAAATCTTCAGCACCCTCCCGAAAGGTTCATGCTTCATTTTAAATGCACATTATTTCTATATGCATCCTCGAGGGACTATTTATTTATTTTGAAAATATCAAAGGAATGAGGGAGTTTTGCTTTCATATATAGTTTTCATTTTTTCCCCAATATGGGCATTAGGTATTAAAAAAAAAGGAAAAGAAGGAAGGAAGAAAGAAAGAGAGAGAGAAGGAAAGAAAGAAAGAAAGAAAGAAAGAAAGAAAGAAAGAAAGGAAGGAAGAAAGAAAGAAAGAAAAAGAAAAACAGATCATTACTGAGCTAGAATTTAGAACTTCAAAAGGGAAATAGTCCAAGGTTTGTGAAGAAGAAAACCATTTTCAAACTGTACTATAGGATTTTTTTAACCTCTATACGACAATGCACCTTAAGGGGGAGGGGGTATTCTCTCTCCTTCCAAAGCACAAAAACACAACATATCCCGAGCAGCCCGTTTCCTACACAGCCAATACAAAAATGCTTTGTACGCTGAGAACTGTGTCCGGTATAGGAGCTAAGCATAAACAGCTGAGAAGGATTAGGCTGCAGCTCCATTATCATTTACATGAAAATCCTGTAAGCATAGTTTTTTTTTTTTTTTTTTTTTTTTTTTCCTCGCTGGCTGCAGGCACAGAAGAAACTCTTTTGTGCCATAGCCACGCATACATTTCCATCCTTTGTCTTTACTTACCAGTCGAGGCTGTGGGCATGTGTGCTCTATTTCCTCCATGGTTTCTGAGGGAGGCTCATTGGAAAGGGATTTTGGGATACCTGTTTCTGACTCAGCATCAGTGGTAAGTACTGGCATGGCCAGTGAATGCTCCCTCCAGCTCTACACCCTCTGGGAGTCTCCTCCCAAGCAAAGAATGTTTTCTTTGTCACGTATTTTTCTCTTCCCTACCCATCCCCCTTCTTCTTCCCTTCTTTTTTGTCTCCCCTGGGGGGGGGGAGTAAAGAGGTTACCCCCCCCCCCCCCGTACACACACCACCCCTTTCTTTCTCAGAGAAGCCCAGAGGCAGGGCCTCAGTTTATCACTATAACAACCAGACAGCACTGGAGCGTCTGGTGCGGATACAGTATCCTCATTTGCATGGAGCGCGCTGGTTGGTTACTGTCATCATAGTACCACTCCACCTGGGAGCGGCCGGGGCCCATTGGCTGGCCTGCCTTACCCATGCAGCCCGAACTTGCTGCTTTGTTTTTTGTATTTAATTCACTTGTGAAGGTCTCCGTGCCTGGTAAGGACTCCCTGCATTTACTAGATTAGAAAAAGTTGTTTCCTGAGGTGCACCAGATAAAGGACCGCGTCCCTGTCATGGGTGATGCAGTTGTAGTCAGAATATTTGCTAAATAGGAGTCAGTCTGGAGACAGTCACTTTAAAGCCCCAAACCACTGGGCCGATTGCCAGTTGGCCTCTGAGGGCTTGTCAGGGTGTTCACCTTCTCGACTGCATAAAACAGGAACACTGGCAGATGCCTAAGGCCTGTTGTAACCCTGAAGTCTATCCCTGGGGCTGCTACAGGCTGCCTGAAGAAAGTAGGTTGTCTTTGACAGCCTATCTCCCAAGTCTGACTGCCCTCTCCCTCACTCAGCTCCCACCCCCCCTTAGTCTTACTGCCATCTGTTGTACAGTACACTTATCTAACGCCCCTATATTATAGGGCCTATACTCTCATTTTATCAGCTCCAGGTCCCATTTTCTAAGCACCCTGCTCTCATCCAAGTGCTCACGGCAGTCTGAGAAAAAACAAAACAAAACTCAGAATGATGTGCCTTAGTGTTTACATTATCCTAAACATCAGTTTAAAAGGAGCATTCTGAAGACACATATTCAAAGGAAAGAACTTGCAAAGAGTTTGTTCTAGTGAAATGCCATGTCTAATATTAGTAAGAAATAAATTCCCCAGTATTTATTAAGCACAGGTGCAGTGCCAAGTACTTTATTTAGATCATCCTTAATCTTCATAAGAACCCAAAGCAGATCCTATTATTATCCTCACTTTATAAGTAAGGAAATTGCAACTTAGAGTAATTGCTTAGGGTCTCAAAGTTCATAAGCAATGGAGCTGCCATTTGAAGACATGAAACTAGAAAGGCATGTCGATCTCAGTGCAAAGAAATAAGGCATCAAGAGCAAGAAACAAGGCTGTGGCTTACTATCTGTAGTTATCACAGGCACAGGAAATGTACTGGGTTGGTTGTTCAGAAAGCGCACCCTGAGGCAGATCTAGATTTTATAACCTCTTGCTCTCTCTTTGAATTTCATATGAGTCACACCCCCAGTTGTCCTTCTGTAGCTCAAGGTTAAGGTCTAAACCCTAGCAGTTTAGAGGAAAATGGTCATACTAAGTAATAAAAGCCATGCACAAATAAATCCCTTTTTATCTACTCCAGGAATTCAAAATGGAAAGCATGTCGCCCTTTTTCTATTGTTTTTACCCATCAGATAATATCACTGTAGCACAAAATTTAATATTGAACTTTGAAATGAATAAACAGATTCAGTGTGGCTAGGTGACTTAGCTAACATTACATAGTAAATGCTAAAAGTCCAGATTTCCTGAACTTTCCACTAAACTATACTGGTTCACTATTCAATTGAACTAGATTTAATCTGTTAACAAATTACTGGGCGATTCAGAGATATCTCTTTATCCATTGTATTCTTTACTCTTTTTCTACTGAAGTCATGAAACATGAAGTACCCTTTACTTTGATTCAAATAGTTCATTTCAAATATGTGTAATTATGGATCTGAAATTATTAGAGGTGCTTACATTTATTTATGACAGAAAAATCAATCAAGCATTTTGGTTAAGAATGATGTTGATACAAGGCCATGATCTTATCTTTGCTGTCCTAGACTCGCTTTGTAAACCAGGCTGTCCGAGAAATCACAGAGATCTGCCTGCCTCTGCCTCCCTAGTACTGGGATTACAGGCATGTGCCACTGTATTTTCTTCTTTTTTAAGCTTCTCTAGTAACCAAGAAAGAATTATCCTTTATTCATTTGTTTGACCAAAATGTACTGATATTCTGAGAACAGTTTTGTGTCACTAAGGAGCAAATGCATAAACCCAACTATAAAGTGAAAAATGTGTCAGACAAACTCTGATCTTATATTTAAAACAAACAGGCTGGCCAGCAGGCTTAATAGGAAAGGCACTGCCAAGCTTGATAACCTCAATTTGATCTATGGGTCCCACATGGTGTAAAGAAAAAAACAATTCTCACAAGTTGTCCTCTGTCTTCCACACCCATGTTATGGCAAGTGATAACATACAGACACACATGTATGTACACATACACCCATATACCACAAAAATAAATAAATAAATGTAATTTTTAAAATTATGTAAGAAAACCCAAATATTTGACACTCCAAGGTCTTAGCACCAAAAAGGGAGCGACAACAGAAGTCTTGAAATGAAATATATTTTTTCTCAAAATACAATACATGTATCTAAATACTGATGATTAAACTCAGTATAAATATGATATATTTTGTTTTACTATTGTAAACCAGATATAACAGGGATTTGGGGCAGAAATTAGATTTGCCATTAACTGTAAAAAAAAATCATTCTTATTTAGATTAGCAGCTGTGTAGTTAGTAAAGAATTATTGTTGCTATCACTTGGTAGTATTTATAAACACTTTTATATTCTAAGTGCTTTACAATCACTTATTGTCTAATTAATATCTAATAATCTGTTTACAAGTAATAATCACACATGTAGTGCAGTTTAATCAAAACTCCAAGTGCTGCTGCCATCACACTCATGATGCTGTGTAAATTTTGGTCCCTCTCTCACAGAATTTGAGTCTAACATGTGACTGAAACACATAATACTAGAGACAAAAAAAAAAATGAAAAAAAAATCCCACTTGGATTTGAGCACACTTTAAGTGTAAAACTTTTGCATACCAAATCCATTGAGTGAATGTCAATAGATAAGTAAAACTACTCTAGGTAATTTTCTATACTTAATAGCTTCATTTCATGCATCTATGAAATTTTCGTTTGCTTAACCCACAACATGGGATGGCAATTTCAATACGCATACAAAGCCAGACACCAATTTATTGCAACTAGTAGTCACAGTCACAATTTCAATGATTTCAGTGAAAATCAAATGTACCAAAACTGCGTAAAGGACTTTGAGATATTAATTCAACCAGGTTCAAGTCTAGACAAAGCTACAACTGGTATTATGGCCTGCCGGGCTTCATTCTTCACCTTAAACAGGTATACTGATGTCTCCCTTCCATATCACACATTATTCTATATGCAATCGCAGAACTATGCAAGGATTGAAGTATGTGAATGATAGACATAGTGATCTAGTTTTTCCTATTCCAGTGAGTTTTCTTATAAGGAGAATTGTTAAGTCAGAGTACTTGCCTTTTTTCAAGGCTTTTTGTAACTGTTACCAAATCATTCCCCCACATGTTTGATCACATCTGCAGTTTCTTATATCCACTTAAACAGATGTCTCCTTGTGTAGTATCTACTAAAAACAGTTTTATTCTTTAAAAAAAAAAAGCTGGTCTCACTGTGATATCCAGGTATGAACTCACTAGCTTATAGCCATCCTGACTCTACTTCCTGAGGTTTGGGGTCGCAGTTGTGCCCCACCAATGCTCATGGGTCTGTTCCTTTTTGCTGTCTCGACAAACTCAGTTTCCCAATCCTCCAGCACTACAGGGTGCTGAGGGTTTCCCCAGGGGCCATCCAAATGTAACACAGGTGAGTCTGACGAATAAATAAGCAACCAAGACCAGATGCCCTGATAGACACATTCATTCACAAATATTATTATGGTATCTGTTATTATAATACTAATAGATTTTTAAATGATCTGGTTTCTAATGTAACTTTCTCATAAAATCTGCATTCAAAATCTTTGAATGTCCACAGAGAGAATGGTTGAATCTTTTCCTAGTTTCCTATAAATGCCATAACAATTTATCACAAAGTTAATGGGGTTGATAACTATATGAATTTATTATCTTAAAGTTCTGAACCAAAGTCAGACACCTGAAGTGAGTCTCCCTTGACTAAAAAGTCAACATGGCCACATGATTGCAATTCTGGAAGCTCAAAGGAACAATCTGGTTCCTTGCCTTTCCGATTTCTATATGCTGCCCACATTCCTTGGCCTGTTTTCTTCCATGGGCAATCATATCACTGAAGCCTCTGTATCAATAATCTCTTCTAAAAATATGGCATTTTTCTTTCACTTAGAAAAAATCTGGTGATGACATCCTTGGGTCGTATGGATAATCCAGAAATACCTTGCCTACCTCAAGATCTTCAATCACATCTTAAGAGTCCCTTTTGCTGTGTAGGGTAATAGAGTGCCCGCTTCTGAGGAATAGCACAGACATCTTTGGAAGGCTGTTGTTCTGTTAGTCTTCCTGCCACACATTCCTTAGCAGGAGCTTGGCCTGGTATTCGAGATATTCAGAAGAAGACATTGCTTATAGTTCCAATATTTAGCAATTATGAAAGCCTACTCTCCATTAAGTAGAGGGACTATGTCCAGTTTGCCGATAACAAGCAGTACTTGGAGACACTAAATGAATTTCCCAGGATCTCAGAGCTTATGCAAAACTGGGTGTCAAATCAGGGCCAGCCACAGCACTTCAAAACCACGTTCAATGCACAACTGCTTCAGTATCTCAGCATTTACAATGTTCTGATCAGTTTGCTCTCTTTGGATAGCCTTCATATTGAGAGCTTTTTATTTAGTTTGAATGACATTTGATTGTTGTGGAAGTTTTGTTTTATGACATGTAAACATGTTTTTGTTTTAGCCCCAGGTGTGGGATACGGGACTGGATCGGATCGTCCATAGCGGCAAACTATTTGCCTCATGTGGGCTCTGAGAGGGGCTCTTTATCAGCTGCAGATCTTTTAATACTGAGGACTCTGGAAAGGGAATAAATGCCAGAGCACAGAGACAGAAAAGGGACTCCAATAAAGAATGTTGCTGGTGCTGCCCACTCCTGCTGCT